GTGCAGCCGCGCAAGTACAATATTAAGGTGCACCCGAAGAAGATCAGGATCCTCTTCCCAGAGATCCCCTTCCTAGGGAACCTCGTGAATCCGGTGGGCCTGAAGCCGCAGGAGCTGAAGGTGGCGGCGATCCAGCGGATCCCGTACCCCACCAGCGTGACGGCCCTGAAGCAGCTCCTTGGCATCATCAACTACTACCGGCGCTTCCTCAAGGGCTGCAGCGTCGTCGCCCGGCCGCTGAACAACTTGCTGAAGAAGGACGTGGAGTTCCCCGCGGAGCTGCCGGCGGAGTGTAAGGCGGGGACAGACCAGTTGAAAGCGGGGCTGTGCGCGGCGCCGCTACTGGTGAGGCCGGATCCGAAACGGGAGTTCGAGCTGCACACGGATTGAAGTGCGGCGGGGTGCGGGGCGATCCTCCAGCAGAGAGACGAAGCGGGGAACGAGCGGGTAGTGGCGTACGCGAGCCGGAGCAATAACAGAGCGGAGTCGAACTACAGCAGCTACGCCGGCGAGTGCCTAGCAGCGGTGTGGGGGGTACGGTACTTCAGGTGTACCTCTACGGAGTGCACTTCAAGCTGTACACGGATCACCGGCCCCTGGAGTGGCTGATGACAAGCCAGAACCTCACCGGCATGCACGCGCGGTGGGCGCTGATGCTTCAAGAGTTCGACTTTGAGGTGAAGTACCGGAAGGGGCTGGTTAACATGAACGCCGACAGGCTCAGCCGAAACCCCTTGCCGGAAACGGAAGACCGGCGGGAGCGCGGGTGCATGACGACCCGCCGGCAGAGCCGGTGTGGACGGCGTCCGCGCTGCTTGCGTGGCAAGCCAGGGCGGCGGGGCCGGCGCTGGACAACGACCAAGACTTCCCTTGGGGGTGGGAGATCGGGGGAGAAGAGTATCCCGACGACCCCACAAGTGAGCCCGAGGACTTGGCTTTGCCAGCACCTCTCGACTACGGGCTTCCTGACGTGCAACTGCCTGTGCCGGCGGAAGCAGAACTGGGAGGAGAGAGGGCAAAGAGCCTCACGGACATATGGGAAGATGTCCACTGCCTATAGGTGGTGCGTGGAGAGCAGCCCGACCCAGCCTGGAGCGAAAAGGAGCAGGAGAGAGTGCGCCGGCGCAGCCTGTCGTACCGATTTGACGACGGGGTGCTACTGCGGCGGCTGGGGAACGGGGAAGAAAAGGTTGTGCCACCGCCGGCGGAGCGGGAAGGCGTGGTGCAAGCGGTACACGAGGAAACCGGCCACTGGGGAGAGAAGCGGACGGTTCATCTGTTGAAGCGAACGTATTGGTGGGCGGGGATGTATGAGACGGCACGGCGGGGCGTCGCGGGGTGTCACCAATGTGACCGGACCAAGGCGGCCTTCGCAAAGGAGATGAGCGTGATGCAGAGCCTGCCAATCATGGGGTTGGGGTATCGGTGGAGCCTAGACTTTGCGGGGCCCCTGATAACAATTCGGACTTCCTCCTCGGTTTACCGTGTTTGCGGTTCCATCCCACAACGCAGAAAGAGATCGGTGAGCGTACCCTGAGCCGCTAGCGGTTCGCGCGACTTCGAGTTAATCCCAATATCGCTAAACCACGCACTGCCGTTCTTCACTCCTTCAGAGTTGGTGAGATTTCCGCCGCGTCCGGCTTTAAAGTCTCTCCACTGAAAAGAAGAACTTTTCCTACGTGGCAACAACAGGCCCTCTCACCCGAGTCTGCGACGAAAACGTCGCCTGCCGCTCCGCCGTCGTTCCTTCCGGTTGCCGCTTCCCCTTCCGGCGCTGCCAAGGCCAGGACCGGAACGTCGATTACTCGCCGCAGCAAGTCGTCGTCGATGACGTCACCGTCCTTCGCAAACGCCTGCAGCAAGTCCGGCGCGTTGTTCAACGGTCCAGGGGAAGGCAGCTGGTCCGCAAACTCAATCGGTGGGCCGTCGAAATCGACTTCCTCCTCCGAAAGGTAGTGCAAACCCAAGTCGTAACTCATAAGTCCGCAGACGGGAAAAGCGGAACCTAA